TTCATATATTCCTTATCCCAATCTGGATCAGGACCATACCACGGCCATGACATCCTATCTCCCAAACACAATCCTCGAATCATATTCATATGGAAATCATCATTAGCCCCACACCTGGGAAAAGGATCAGATGACTTCATAGTCTCTGTCCATCCTGCTAAATTTGACACAAAGGGGATTGTAAGAAATCCTCCTTGTGCTCCTATTCTAGTAACATAATTTAGACATGACTCCCCTGGTTGAGGTAAAGGGTAAGAAATAGACTAATTATTTCCCATATTTCTGGCTCAGGGTAGAGACACTACCTACTTACCAATAAAGTGTCTCTACTTAACAAGCAAAATAAACACAAAGCAGACACAGGGTGACCAGAGGAACGAGAAGTTTGGGTTATTCTAGATCTATAAACCGTGTTTCCTAGAACACCTATAGTCTTAATAAACCGGAGACTCCTTTATAGTCTCAAAACCTGTATATACCTGAGATACCCTGTATCTATCTTAGATACTAACCTAGGTTACCAAGAACCCTATACTAGACCAACTGTCCAGTAAAAACCGGAGACCTATTTACAGTCTCAATATAACTAAAGTCCTTAAACCTTTCCTATCTACTGGATACAGACTTACTGAACCATAGGGGGTCATAGACAATCAGCATCAATAAGACACAAAAAGGCTACTTACCCACAATGGTCCTGCTGTAATCCCATTTCTTACACCAAGCTGAAAGGGTTAATGCTGTTCTGGACTTAACTCCCCTCGATTCTCGATTCTCCGGTCACCACATCAATTGACGGGAGTTCTTGTTTATTAAGACACAGACACAAAAGAGTGCTTAACAAGTTCTCAGTGAGTATATTTTCAGGGCTAGCATTTATACACAGTTTGTCACGCAAGCAGCAAGATTTATCGTTTCCTTGTAGTTAACAGTACATACTTGTCTGAAATTAAAAGATAAGCATTTGAATAAGGACGGGACAGGAACATCCTGAGGTCGAGCGAGGTCATACATCTTGTAGAAGGGAGGCCTCTCAAAGCATGTTACAGAATACATCTGCCAAGGTCAGCATAATTATTTCAAACATTATTTTAAAGCATATAAAACAAAAAGAGTTAACTATTTCATATCCTTACAAGAAGCAGCTGGTATTTATCAGGGCATGGCATCTAATGGTGTAAAATGGGTAGAGCCCAATAATAAGGGGGTCTATGCTCTGTCATCTTTAAACTTCACCAGCTGCTCTTGTGTAAAGCTTGGCAGAGTTGGAGTGGTCCGCAGGACCTCATGTTGTAATGCTGGGAAAGATATCCCCTGGACTGCAAGGAAGCAGAGCAGAAGGAGCGGTCTGGAACAGTTTCCCGCTGCCCTCCCCAATTTTCTAGGCTATGTGATGGTTTCTGTCTTGTGGTGTTGTTTGTTTCTGTTCTTGTTTTGTCACAGCTATGGCGGAGTTCCTGGCCAGCGCACGTAATGCACGGAAAGGATTTGGGGAGTCGCAGCCTGCTAGGGCTGATGGCCAAAGGCAGGCTGTACGAACTCTGGATAAAGACTTGGAGTATCTGTCTGTTGGGTAGTCACCCCAACAGCTGACAGGTGGAAATGCTGGCGCTGTAAAAGTTTAATAAAGCTGTGGCCGTTGCCCTTCCCCAACAATCAGGTGTCATGTCGTTATTGGGGGTAACGGGTATGGTATTCGGGTCAGCAGTCATGGCACATAGCATCACAAAGCGAGATGTGGAAATGTTGGAAAGACGCCTTTTGGGTAGGTTAAATTACAAAATTATGTTTTTGAAAGTACCGGTACTTAATTTGCTCATTTGCTGTTTCTGCCAGTATCTCCCTACCTGTCACAATACTATTTACTAAAATACTACATTTTGTAATACTAAAATTGACTTGGAATAGTGAAAAGACATGTTAACATTTCAAACATCCAAAATTAAGCTCTGGGCTCAAACTCCAACTACTCCTGGGCAGCAGAAATGATTATATTACACATCATCCCCAATACATGGAACAAAAACCTTTTCTTCCCTTTAATTTTTTCTATCTGTTGTGACTGATGTGTACTATAGTCATTGCTGCCGCACAGGACTAGTGAGAGTTTGAGCGTAGGGCTTGATTTTGTGTATTTGTATTACACAGCCATATAATAGTGCTGCCGGCCATCCTATGTGGTTAGAAAACACCCCTTGGTGTTTAGAGATTTTACCTCCTAGCTCAAAGAAGCAGGGTGTAGAACTCAGCTAAGAGGTTTGCCTTGACGTGGCAGGCGAGCTTACACTTGGGAGTGATACTAAAAACCTCCAGTTATTTAAATGTGCATATGGATTTGGGATAGTTCAAAGGGAACTTTTTCGGTTTATGTTAGCATTTCATCATATCCAGAATGATGCATGCTTGATTTATGCAGACTGTATCATGCAGCCTACCGTAAAATCTTGGGCCTATAAAAAAAGGTGATTATGGCCTTTCATCAGACTGGTGTTAGTCTGGCCATGTGGCAACTATCATCTTACTGTACACACAGGGCAGGCCTTAGTTCAGTAGGTGCCCTGTGTGAAAAATCTTCACAGTGTCCCTCACTGGTCACACGTCCCACCATTTAAATATTTCCATTCTTATTAACCCCCAAACAAATAGATTAGAAAGCTCGATGAACATACATTTTTTATATACCGGCATTAAACATGTAAGTGCAATGTAAGTATAATTATTAAATAAAGCAGTATTAAATAATAATTGTCATACTAATATGCTAACACATTAAGGATATACAGTCCTAACAAATTATGTCAGGGTGTCATGTAATGCAGGTCATCTTTTTCAAGTAAGTGCAACTAGAAGTGAATGGCGAGTTTACGAGAGCATGTCTAAGGGGCTGTAGAGATTGTGTGTCTAGATGCTGTAATGTGTATGTGTGTGTCGATAGGGACAGTAGTGTGTGTATAGGGGCCTGGAGTGTGTTTGTATCCAGTGGCTGCATTGTGTTTGTATATATGTATAGGGTTTGCATTGTGTAGTTGTAATCTAAGCTTTATGTGTAAGTGGTGTAGTCTGTGCATAGGGGTATTTGTGTATAGCGGTTATGGTGTGTGGGTATATAGGAGTGTACAGTGTGTATAGGGTTATAGTGTGTATTGAGGGTCTATTGTGTGTGTAAAGGGGTGCACTGTGTGTATAGGAGTATGTACAGTTGCAAGAAAAAGTATGTGAACCCTTTGGAATGATTTGGATTTCTGAACAAATTGGTCATAAAATGTGATCTGATCATCATCTAAGTCACAACAATAGACAATCACAGTCTGCTTAAACTAATAACACACAAAGAATGAAATGTTGCCATGTTTTTATTGAACACACCATGTAAACATTCACAGTGCAGGTGGAAAAAGTATGTGAACCCTTGGATTTAATCACTGGTTGAACTTCCTTTGGCAGAAATAACTTCAACCAAACGTTTCCTGTAGTTGCAGATCAGACGTGCACAACGGTCAATTGTTGACTGTGATGTCTATTGTTTTTTGTTTTTTTTTAAATTCTTTATTTTTATTGTGCACAAGATAACATAAAAGCTGACAATGCCACAACAGCATAGTACAAGCCCATTAAAGCAAGATTATTCACATAGATGGCACAGGGTTATTGGCACATTTTGTATTTTTGAGGATAAACATACATCGAGTTGTAAGTTACCAAAGTGACAGGTAGTAACATCATTGAATGAAACGTAGTGGGTTTTGTGAGAGTAACTTAATAAAATGCATATTCTAACAGCATGGCTGGTCTGAATAGTGCTACACAGCTAACTGGTCCAAAATAGGCATTGAGGTGGCTTGTTATGCTAAGCCTATTATAATTGAATGAGTATGTGAGGAGTGCAATACTCAGTCGTTTTACTAATGGCTTGTCTAATAACCTAGATTAAACATTAGGGATGGGACACTAATTAACATAGGTGCTTCCAAAGGCTGTTAGTAAGTAAGTTTAACGGTATGCTGTACTATAGAACTTAAGATGCAGACATGCTAGTGTTAAATGGTGTTTGTATGAACATTATATCACCCTGGCTGGATTAGAGTTCTTGGGTTGGTTTGCGTTCCAGGGCTTTTCGGCTCGGCGGGTCCGTGCGGCCGGGAGCGAGTGTCCTCTGGTGCGGGGGTTCAAGCAGCGCCCCTCCGGGAGTGTTGCTGTGTTGCTCGTTGGTATCTTTTGGGCTGCTTCTCCGGCTGGCCATGGGTACCTCTTCTGAACTTCCCGAGGTGAGCGCCTGTAAGGACGGATGTTTGGGCACTGTGTGATACAGTTGGCTGCTGGATGAGACCGCTGTTATGGCCGCCGATGAATGTTGTCGGCCTTGCTGTGGGAGTTCCTTGGTCTGTTGCGAGGTTGGCAGTCTCTGGCGGTGGAAGGTCGGGTGCAGTGTGGGCTGGTTCCGCTGCCCTTGTGGCTCGGGCTAGGCCTCCTCCGCTGTTCGCCTTTGGCGAGTTCCGTGTAGTGGGCTGGTAAGTAGTCGCTTGTGGGGTTGCGGTGTCTAGTGTGAGGAGCTTGAGTTCTTCTGGCCCCTTGGGCTCTTGTCCAGAGACCCAGTTTGTTGCTCTACTCCCTGCGAGGGCGCACTCTCTCTCCCCGGCCCCAGCGCACATGGCATCCGCCATCTTGGATGTCGTGTTCAGGCCTTTGAGCGGGGTGGTAGTACCTCTGGACCCTGGATGTGTGGCCTCTGGGTGAGGACCGGGATTACCCCCGCCGGTCCAGAGGGGGGGGGACAGGGCCAGGACCGCCCGGGTCTTGATCTCCGGCTTCGTACCATTAGGCGGGATAGTGGGGCAGCGGCCGTCTGTCCCTCTCACCGCCGGCGTAGGCCCCAACTTGTTCGTTGCGGGCTTCACCTCCTGGGGACTGTAGCTCCGGTAGCCAGCCTCTCCCAGGATCCGGTAACTTCGTGGTTCTGAAGACCCTTGCTGCCGGTCAGTAGTAAGGTCATTTTCCATATTTTTAAGCATATTTGTGGGTGTATTGCAGGAGCTGAACTCATGTGCGACCGTCCAGCTCGGCGGTCCGGCCCCGCCCCCCTCGTGATGTCTATTGTTGTGACTTAGATGATGATCAGATCACATTTTATGACCAATTTGTGCAGAAATCCATATCATTCCAAAGGGTTCACATACTATTTCTTGCAACTGTAAGTTTCTATGTGGTGTGTACTGTGTGCATAGGGGCTTTAGTATGTGTAGGGGTGCAGTGTGTGTGTGTGTGAATATATATATATATATATATATTTATAAACAGGAGAAAGTCAGGATGCACACACATGTCTTCAAAATAGTGAAATGTGATTTAATCAATAATCAGGCATACAGCAAATAGAATCAACGTTTCGATCCCAGGGGTACTGTATGCCTGATTATTGATTAAATCATGCAGTATTTTGAAGACCTGTGTGTGCATCCTGACTTTCTCCTGTTTGTATATTGGACGCATGTGGATTGCACCCAGGCTATTGTATTTATAATCCTGGTAAGGAGAGTGCCAAGCTATCATCTATTTATATATATTTATATATATACAGGGAGTGCAGAATTATTAGGCAAGTTGTATTTTTGAGGATTAATTTTATTATTGAACAACAACCATGTTCTCAATGAACCCAAAAAACTCATTAATATCAAAGCTGAATATTTTTGGAAGTAGTTTTTAGTTTGTTTTAGTTATAGCTATGTTAGGGGGATATCTGTGTGTGCAGGTGACTATTACTGTGCATAATTATTAGGCAACTTAACAAAAAACAAATATATATACCCATTTCAATTATTTATTATTACCAGTGAAACCAATATAACATCTCAACATTCACAAAAATACATTTCTGACATTCAAAAACAAAACAAAAACAAATCAGTGACCAATATAGCCACCCTTCTTTGCAAGGACACTCAAAAGCCTGCCATCCATGGATTCTGTCAGTGTTTTGATCTGTTCACCATCAACATTGCGTGCAGCAGCAACCACAGCCTCCCAGACACTGTTCAGAGAGGTGTACTGTTTTCCTCCTTGTAAATCTCACATTTGATGATGGACCACAGGTTCTCAATGGGGTTCAGATCAGGTGAACAAGGAGGCCATGTCATTAGATTTTCTTCTTTATACCCTTTCTTGCCAGCCACGCTGTGGAGTACTTGGACGCGTGTGATGGAGCATTGTCCTGCATGAAAATCATGTTTTTCTTGAAGGATGCAGACTTCTTCCTGTACCACTGCTTGAAGAAGGTGTCTTCCAGGAACTGGCAGTAGGACTGGGAGCTGAGCTTGACTCCATCCTCAACCCGAAAAGGCCCCACAAGCTCATCTTTGATGACACCAGCCCAAACCAGTACTCCACCTCCACCTTGCTGGCGTCTGAGTCGGACTGGAGCTCTCTGCCCTTTACCAATCCAGCCACGGGCCCATCCATCTGGCCCATCAAGACTCACTCTCATTTCATCAGTCCATAAAACCTTAGAAAATCAGTCTTGAGATATTTCTTGGCCCAGTCTTGACGTTTCAGCTTGTGTGTCTTGTTCAGTGGTGGTCGTCTTTCAGCCTTTCTTACCTTGGCCATGTCTCTGAGTATAGCACACCTTGTGCTTTTGGGCACTCCAGTGATGTTGCAGCTCTGAAATATGGCCAAACTGGTGGCAAGTGGCATCGTGGCAGCTGCACGCTTGACTTTTCTCAGTTCATGGGCAGTTATTTTGCGCCTTGGTTTTTCCACACGCTTCTTGCGACCCTGTTGACTATTTTGAATGAAACGCTTGATTGTTCGATGATCACGCTTCAGAAGCTTTGTAATTTTAAGAGTGCTGCATCCCTCTGCAAGATATCTCACTATTTTTGACTTTTCTGAGCCTGTCAAGTCCTTCTTTGGACCCATTTTGCCAAAGGAAAGGAAGTTGCCTAATAATTATGCACACCTGATATAGGGTGTTGATGTCATTAGACCACACCCCTTCTCATTACAGAGATGCACATCACCTAATATGCTTAATTGGTAGTAGGCTTTCGAGCCTATACAGCTTGGATTAAGACAACATGCATAAAGAGGATGATGTGGTCAAAATACTCATTTGCCTAATAATTCTGCACTCCCTGTATATATATATATATATATATATGTGTGTGTGTGTGTATATGGGATATAGTATAGGTGTATAGGGGGTGTAGTGTGGGCCTACTGGGGTGTAGTGTGTGTATAGTGGCCTTATTACTTTATTATCCCACATTAATTCCTTCCTCCTCTTGTTACTCTGCATTATCATTCTGATACCTGGTAATACAGTGTGGAATCTGGTCTAGCTCTCCGCTTGTGTCCCTTTTCCAATATCCTCCCTTCCCACTATGTGTCTGTATCCTCATATTCCCTCTTCTCTCCTGTGCCTATCCCCCATGACCTATGTCCCCCCATTATGAATTATGTTTCCATGTTTCCCATTGTATTAATGCATCTTTTTTATCTATTTCCCTATTACCCCCAGTGCAAATGACTTCCACCTGTGTCCATGCTCACTTATGTCTATGTGTCCATGTCCCCCCATATGTACATTTCCTCCCCCTTATGTCCATGATCATGATGTTCTTCCATGTGTTTATGGTCCGTGGTTATGGCCTCCAATGTGTCCATTTCCTTATCTTGTGGCCAAGTCCCCACCTTGTGTCCATGTCCCCATGCCCTTCATGTGTCTACACCTCCTCTTGTGTTATGTTCCCCATTTTATCCTTAAGCACACCTTGTGTCCATAACCCCATACACCCCCTGTGTCCCCCATTGTGTCCAGGTTCCAATGTCTCCCATGTGGCTATGTCCACATGTTCTCCTTGTTGTGGCTATTCCCATGTATCCCTTTCTGTCTATATCCCCCGTGTCCTTGTATCCATGTCCTCTTGGCCTCCTTGTGTCCATGCCCACATGTCTCCCAACTGTGACCATATTCACCATTATGTCACCATGTCCTCCTTGGCTCTGTATCCCTTCTTTTATCTATGCCCCTCCTTGAATCTTTGGTCCCACTTTGTAATCACGCCCCTTATGTGCCCATGCCTCCCTTGTGTCTATGTCACCATGTTCCCCTTGTGTGCATGCTCCCCTTTTTGTTCACATCCCCATTCTGTGTCTATGTCCCTCCCATGTGCATATGTCCCTACTTGAGTCCATGCTCTCTCGTATGCCCATGTTCTCCATGTTTATACATGTTCTCCCCGTTTATGTTTATGTGCCCACATGTGCCCATGGTTTGTGTTCTAATCTGTGCCTCCATCTGTTTTGAAGCCTGGCCAAGTAGCATGGGTATGAGAGTTCTAAGAGCAGGTATGTCAGGTGCTTTATAGAGGGGGTGAGGATATAACTATGCTAACTCCATACTAGCCACACTACATGCTAATCCTAGCTTCCTTTAATTTCTGAACTACATGCTAACTCCACTTTCCCATACTGCCTGACCTACATGCTAACTCCAATTCCCATACTACCTGCCACGCTTACTCCAGCTTCAATACTGCCTGCACTACAGACTAACCCCTGCTTCCATACTGCCTGACCTACATGTTAACTCCAGTCCCATACTATCTGACCTACATGCTAACTCCATATTCCCATACTATATGGCCTACATGTTAACTCCAGTCCCATACTATCTGACCTACATGCTAACTCCAGATTCCCACACTATATGGCCTACATGTTAACTCCAGTCCCATGCTATCTGACCTACATGCTAACTCCAGATTCCTATACAATATATGGCCTACATGTTAACTCCAGTCCCATGCTATCTGACCTACATGCTAACTCCAGATTCCTATACAATATATGGCCTACATGTTAACTCCAGTCCCATGCTATCTGACCTACATGCTAACTCCATATTCCTATACAATTTATGGCCTACATGTTAACTCCAGTCCCATAATATCTGGCCTACATGCTAACTCCAGATTCCCATACTATCTGACCTACATACTAAACTCTAGATTCACATACTATCTGGCCTACATGCTAAGCCCAGCTTCCATACTACATGACCCAGATGCTAACTCCAGATTCCATGCTACATGCACTACATGCTAATCCAATCTCAGCACAATGGTCGCTATACATGTCTTAAAAGGAAATAGGTAATCACATCTTTCTCCTATTTTAAATCCCTTAAACCACCTACATCAGCGTATTATAAATCAGCTTGCAAACGCAGTCAATGTCAATGTTAATGGTTAAACAGCAGACATATTTTTTTTTTCTTCGAATATGTGTTCTTGTAGTTTACATGAATTTCATGACAGGAAAAAACCTCAATGCGTGTTTCCTGCTAAAATACTTCATGAACACATTGAAGACCAAAGATGAAAAAATATTCACTTGTTCAACTTCAACAGAAGATGGCAGCAGAAGGTTTACATAAATTACTTCTATGGAATTTACTGAAGTGTGTTAAGGGCTATCAGAGCTCATAGCAGCACTAACTGCTACTGACTTGATAATCAATTAATGCAGCATCAATTTCAGAGTTTAGTGGGTCCTGTGTGTTAATTCAATATCATGTTAAGCTTCTTTATAGCTTGGTGTCATTCACCCAAACAAATTTCTCTTTTCAAGGGGATATCTTTTTGTTGCATTTTGAAAACAGGCCACAATAAGCAAATCTAGATTAAAAGGTTTACTCAAATTTAAAACATTACAAAATGACAAAGATGCCGTTAAGCTCATGGAAGAGGTCTCCTGAAGCTTTAAAAGGACATTATAGGCATCTCATTGAAGTGGTCTGGGTGCAGTGTCGCTGTCCCCCTCAGTCCTGCAATGTAAATCTCTAGTTTCAGAGAAGCTACAATATTTACATTGCAGTACTAAGACTGCCTCTAGTGGCGCTTCCTGAAGTTTCAAGGAGTTTGACTCAGTGAAATGATGTTGGACATCCTCAGGCTCTGCATTAGGACATCAGGCATCAAGATAAACCCCATAGTAAAGAATGGATTCAATGCTTTCCTATGGAGAAGGCCTAATGCTTGCTGTGCTCGCTCATTACGCCCCCTCCATCAACGGATGTTGGAGAATGGACCGAGGTGCTGGAATCGAATAAGTGAATAACGTTTTTTTAAATTTTTTTTTATTATTTTGGTTGTGCATAGGTTAAACAAGTAAGTTTGCACCGAGTGCACTGCACATTATTTATAATAGAATAATAGACAATATTAATCAGAAGCCTACATGTCACAGCAGAAAATATGAAGTGCTAAAACATATAGACTTGAGTATTGCTGATGTTGAGAACCACTGGGTCACATTAGAAAAAAAGTGTGCCCTTTTAACCCGGACAAGGTTGGTACCGCTATAGAAGAGTGACATCAGCAAAGGCAAAAATAAATCATATGGTGTCAGGCAATGGCCAGCTTGTGATCCTCTGCTAGGTATAAGATCAGATTAGAAGCAGGACTGCTGCTTTACTTGAGGTTCTTACTCAGCCAATGTCCTCGTTTGGTGGACTCAGAGGAATTATTCTAAGATGATGCGAGGGTATGTTGAAAGGTGGATAAAGGGGACCATACCTTCTTCCCCAGGCATGGTAAAAGGCCAGCATCCACAGTTCACTGACTTGGGGCGCTTAAAGGGTCCAAGTCCTCTGCTAGAGAGAGACAGTGTTGCCACTGCATGCAGTCGATCTTCTGCCCATGTGGTCAATGCATAGGGGATTCACCCTCATTGGCCCTCGGCCCAGTTGGGCCTGCGATGGCAGGTTTCTGTGTGTGAGGCTCTGGATTGCCCGAAGGTGCTCTCTCCTCCCGCATCTCACCCTGCTGAGGTTGGTGCAACGGATCTGCTAGTCTTGCCTCTAGGGTCACCCAAAAGAGGTCAATTATAGCATCCAGCCATCGGAGGGGCCCTTCAACCAAATCTAAGACTTGCCTCCTGGCCTGTGCCAGTGAGTGAAGTGTTGTCTAAGAATGCTCAGTACAAGCAATGTAGGAGCCTGTTAGTAAGTAGGGTGTCCCAGTGAGGATCAGGATAACCCCCACCGGTCTGGGGGGGAGGGGGGGTTGCACAGTATCCTGCAGGGACTCAGCGTCACCCTGTTCTATCGATCGGTCACCTCGCCAGATCGACATGAATATAAGGCCTCCCCTGCAGTACAGTAGACTCCAGCCACGGAAGTACACTGAATGGCCCCAGATGGTTTCAGGATTAGTTAAGTCACGGTAGAAGAACGTGTGGGTGTTATTTTAGTCGAATAGACGACTCGAAGGTAAGTACAGACTCGGAACTCAAGTGAAATGCATCTAGCCGCTGTGCTGCTCAGTCCCCCCTCCCAATAAAGGGTTATTTACACCTTTACATTATTGGGTGGGGATGGGGGACCCAGAGGAACATGTTCATGTTAGGTATCTATCTATGCATTCCTAATACTAAAGTGTTCCTTTAATCAAACTTATCTCCATGTACCCTATACATTCTTCACACATTCATTATAATATGAAGCACATACATTATACAGTGTTTTATTCAATTTGTATATATTTTTTATTTTTTCATTATTTGTAATTTGTAAATTGTAGTAAAACAAACTAAAATCCTAAATGTTATAATCCCACACTATCCACACACTAGACGTTCTATGTACATACATTACACATCTAATAAACATGCACAATAAGATTGCACACAGTCAATCCCCACCCCCTATATTTCTGAATCAGGACTTAATCAGGACTTAATAAAGTCAGTTCCATTAACCTCCCAATAGCAT